AAAATTTATTTTTGAAAGGTGAAAGAGATCTTTTTGTCGACTTGCTCTTTATAATTCCACTTACAGGAAAACTTGCGAAAATTTTATAACAACAAACCCTGCTGTAAGAACAGTGAGAACGCCGGATAAAATATCTGTACATGCAATATATAGACAAATCATACGCGTGGATATTTTCATTGCAGTGTCATTGTTTACAACAGTGTGCTGTAAAATTTCCTTGTTTGATCCTGCCTATTGACGGTGTAACTACTAATCCACGTATCTCGGTTTCCGCCGGAGCAGACCTCCTGTCATACTTTATTTTCTAAATGGAGAACTCCTCAACGTCAATTTTTGTGAACTTACGAGATTTTGAAACCTGTCAAAACTACGAGGTGTGATATTAATTCGTTCTCCTCCAATGAAGAAAATGGAAGCAAAGATTTTCAACACCGCAAACAAGATACGTGGCCTGGTAGTTTCACCATCGACATGTTTACGCTACATTAAAAGAAAGCCCATGAAAACAATTTGAATGGATTCATACATCACCAAAAGTAATAGACATGCATAAGTAATATTGATACTGAAAGTTGGGTTAAAATGTTCTTATTTCTTTTTCAAGAAGCAAGTGAAAGTTCTACCTCAAATCAATATTCGTACTCTGAAATTCATAAGCCGTTTCCCCAATCGTCGTCTCCTTACTCTCGGCCTATCCTACGAGTCACTCCTTCCTCCTTTGTTTATGTTTATTTTCGATGAAAGATGTGGGGGAGGGATGAGGTTTTCATTTCTCCGCAATGCCTGGACACTGTGAAAACAAGATTACTCCGTCTGACAAAAGCCAGAGAAAGCCAAGGGAAATTTTCGTGAAACTTAAGCTCTCTCCCGACTTTTATCTGCACACAGGGACAGATTTACGAACTGCTTAAGCAGCTTTTCTCTCCAAGTTTAGGGTACATATACGACCCGTTTTCAATCGTCACTGCCCTGATTGCCAGACTGGTTTATGTAGACAGACCTTTTTTATATTTTCCTTACAGCGTTCCGAGAGATGCTCGGGACTCCGCACCGCAGCGATTTTCTCCTGAACGTCAGACCCAATCCTCGAATCGGAGCTAAATTTTATTTCTCTGATAACATTATGCCCCGTTATCTTTAGAACATTTTATCTCCCCTCCTGAATTCTTGATTTTATTCTCTTGAGCAGAGCCTCTGAATGACAATACAGCTTTTTAGCTTTCTACGAGGATGGTTGAGTTATACGCCGTTGAATGGATCCATTGATCCCCGTGGCTTAGCTCTAGAAGCCCTGCATGGGTATGTTTATAATTTCTTGGATTCTTATGAGACAGTTATGTTACTTTGATTCTCACATAACCATTGGCGGATCCAGAAAATTGGCAACGTTTTTTTTCTCCATTAAAACCTATGGAAATATATCGATTCTTAGACAGGCCAGGTGCTCCGACAAGAATTGATTATTTAACTTAGATTTATATGGAGGACTTCCGGTGTTGCCAAATTGCTGGATCAGCACATAACCATCTGCACGTAACCATGTTAATTAAACACATGTGACGGTTTGCAGAGGAACTAGCTCTACTAGATCTAGTAAGTTCTAAAATTGTTCTGCCGTTCAATGGAAAAACGTCGTATGAAGCTTCAGGCATTGCCACATTTCAATTGACAAGACATGAACTTCCTGGTAAAATTATGAACATGTTGCTTCCAATTATTCACATAATGTTATTCATAATTCCGCCTAAAGTTTCTGAAAATTTCAAAGAGAAATATTCGTAATTTTCCTCAAAAAAAACTTTTTCTTAAAGGAAATTTGGCAACTCTAAAATGTTCATACGGTGTTTTTCCTCAGTACGGCAGAGTTGCACGAGTGTCTAAAGTACGAGTATGCATTAAGGTTCACAGATGTACGGTATAATTCCCTAAAAGGAGAAAAAAAAGAAGAAAAACAACGCAGGATTTTAACAACTGTACACGTAATATTTAATTCTTAATGGTAGGATTTGTTTTTCAAATAAGATATCGTGTAATATTTCTAATTTGAATAATCACAGGCGTAAGTAAATAAACACATGCTCTCAAAAATGATACAGTACGCTTCTGTTGGGCAAGACAAAATAGTTCCGATTTAAAAAAAAAAAAATGTTTTAAGCACTGGATTCAAAACCGAATTCATAGAATATGTGTGCTTCAAAAAAAAAAAAGTGTAAAAAATGAATTACTGCGCCTTGGTACGTAAAATTTTGAAGGGATGCGAGAGCAATAAAGAATAACATTTGCAGAAAAACTTGGGAGGAATTGCATCATATGAAAGTGCACTCTTAATAACATTTCATATTATTATTTCTGTAATATTAAAAAATCTCACAGCTAGACAAGCACTCATACTGATGATTCTTCAAAAGACTTCACGCAAATCAAGAAGAATGTACATAAAATTTCGTATTCCATCATTGGAGAGAAACGATTCACAAATAATTCTTGAAAATCATCCACAGCATAGCGTTTCCCGTCAACTTGCGACCAGCATGCAATTAAAATCCCGACCAGTCAAAGCACGTCAAACTGGGAAGCCGCGCCACTAATTAAAAATTGTCACTGTCTTCCTACTCGATTTACAACTGTCGATCCTCACTTTGGGACGGGTTCGAGCGGATATCAACCACCAGTCTGCTTGAATTTACCCACCGACCCACAGTGGATCAAGTCAATTAAAAAGGTCGGACATTAAATTTTTGACTAAATCTGAAATTTTTTATATTTAATTTGTCACATTTTAAATTTCAAGGGGTACTAAGAGAAGAAAATTTCACGAGAAAACCAATGGAACCACTTTTAATACTTCAAAGTTGTGTATAAACGGAGTTACAAGCGTTTAAAGTTTCCAAATTTTTTCCGACCTCTCCTATTAACTCGATCCACTGTGCGACCTGTGTAATTACCACCAACGAGGTCGTAGTGGACGTCCCATTCAAAGAGATGCGAATTAATTGTCACACAGATGAGGTGTCACAGACCGAAGCGCCTCGAATTCTCCGCTCACGATTGAGGCAAAAAAGCCATTTTTAGTTCGTGACCAAGTATACTACCTATTTATGGAATTCCGCGTACTGTATGTAGGACAAACGATTCTTCTTAACACCTTCAAGTAACTGATGAAAAGCACCTTGAGAAGAGATTTTCTTCGAAGGCAATCCTGGAATTCGACGTAATTGCGAAAGAGCGCTTCAACTTTTCGAGTTATCTTTCGGATTTTATTCACTAATTGTAAGCAAAAATCGGGGTGGCAAGTCATTTATCCTAAAAAAAAAAATTCCTACTACTTCACTCGTTTTTTATCCCATTAAAGTTCACCTTACAGGTATAATGTCATACTGGATAGGTTGCGAGGTTAGGTTCAGAATTTTTTCCTCTGCTCTACTCATGTTAAAGTATCAATTTCAACTAGGACAAATACTCTTCGGAGAAAAAGCCAGTAGGACAACTCACTCGCAGGACTTAGTACGATGAGACAAAAAATGAGGAGGAAAAAAGTATTGAGAAAACTTGGGGTAGGAAAGAAAAATTTAGGACAAATGACCTAGCACCAAAATTCAGAGCTTGGTAGAAATTGACTACTGGCTGTTATAACTGGGAATCAGTATTGAACTTTAAAACAGCCCGACGTGGCTCCTTGCTCCTTACTCACTGCAACTATGCAACAGAACTTTAAGGGTTTTTAGTGTTGGCCTTTTTACGGTCAGGGAAAATTTATGATGTGCTAGGGAACGGTTGGGTTAACACCAATGAAGTAAAAAATGCTGACTTTAATTAGCCTTCAGACGAATGATCGCATGTTATATTGCAAATTGCATTCTAAGCCTTGTACGAAGTATGGAGTATTTCGAGTGTTAGTGTATCAGAAAAGTACTGATTTGTGGTTTCGTCGTATTTTTTGCAGAAGTAGAGTCAATATTTGTTAATATTTATTTAATTATCGGTTCGAGTGACATGCTAAGTGAATTTAAAGTAAATTTCAGACGGCGTGTGCGAGCAAATATTTCTGATCGCTTATTTTGTCTCTCTGTCAATGATTTCGATATGGTGAACAAAATGTAGGAACAAAACTAACAGTTATTTTAAATGAAACGCATTTATAATCTAAATTTGAAATACATTATCTGTGATGTGCGGCATATGCGAAGTTTAAGCCTAGTATTCAAATGGGAGAAAGAAGAGACGACTTGATGTGTCCAGTTTTCGAATGATTCGCAGTGGAGTTTTCCTTTACAAACTAAGATCGCATTTTTGCTGTAATAATGAAAAACCTGAGGAGCGTTTGAATCAGCCAAATCTTAAGTAATTGATCAAATTTAAATTTTCAAAGGGACTTTTGAATTATTTCCTCACTCTTGGGTGCGCAAGATTAATCGGCGGCATGAAGCGGAGCATTGCGAGTTCATGCCGCGCGGCATCGCGCCTTCAATTTTGCAGACGCAACACGGACATCCATCAAGTACGAATAGTTGTATCTCTGCGCCGTTGTCAACGTGCGTTGAGGCTTGAGGCGTCTATTATTTTTGACATTTGAATGACATTGTTAAAGGATAAGGTCCAGTTTGCTCAAAATATATTATAGGTCCGAATCAAAAATCAATTTGATAAAAAAAAAGAAAAGAAAAGAAAACTTTACAAGTCCCTCAAGCGCCTTGAAGGGCTACGCCTGAAAGTTTTTATTTCTGCGAAAGTTGTGTCGAGTCAAGAAATTTTTTTTTTTTTGACGACTCTCCCTAGAAATTTTTTGTGAACGCTTTATATAAAGCGGATGAGGAGAGGGAATGAGGAAGCGCCGGTATGTTACAAAACAGTGAACATTTCAAAAAAATTATTTTTTAACATCAAAAACATTGAAATCTTTTAGATAATACTTTCAATTATTATCAAAATCAATGTATTTAAATACGCGGGTCAATTTGATCCGACTTATGGGACTGCGTGTAAAATTCTTGGGCATCTACGGGTGAAAATCTTCAGAAAAGTTTATTCGCAACTGAATCCAATGGAGTTAAATGAACATCTCAATGACAAACATTCGTAACTTATTTCACAAATGAAACTATTTCATCCAGAGAGTTTGGTGTGATATCTAATTAATCGATTTTTTTCGGAAGGGGCATGGCTACCTCCGATATTCCTAGATTCGGTTTTCCGGGTTCCTATCACCATAGATAAGGTGTTTGAGGCGGAGTTTTAAGCACAGTTGGACTCGGGGGATTAGGAATGCATGAGTGCGGTAATGAAAGCAGGCGGCATGAACCGACCCAGACAAAAGACGGATCAATTAAAGCGACAACGGGTATTAGAACCCATGCAAAAGTCAATTTCGGACGAACGCCATCCGCGCGACGTTGCCGAATCGGGCCGTTTATAGGATTGAATACCGAATTCATGCGTCGTGAGAGAGGCGTCGAGAGATCGGTTCGTCGACAGAGCTTCGACTGTCCTAATTTGAGCTGGACTCCGATTTATCTCGGCTTCAAACCCAGAATAATGACCCCGGGTCTTGTTCCGCAATTCCCAGGTCTTGTTACGTCGATGTTGCCTTCCTTGCCCTGAGCAGATTCTTGAACAGTCCTAAACCAACGAAAACAGAGTCAACATAGTTTTCCGAGCAAAAATGAAATAAAGCGGGTGTTTTTATGAGGGTGCTGAATTCGTTTTATTATGCCTTGCTCAGTAAAAATCGGATTTGCAAACCCGTATCGAGCTTTGGAAAGTTCCGACGATAGAATAAAGTTTTGCAACGAAAGGTAGGTACACACCTTGTGAGCAGCACTTTCCCCCTAAAAATCCGATGTACACGATGTTTTCGGCGCGTACCAAAATCAGAGCTCGGAAAATAAGACTTAAAGAACCGGAAGTGGTATTCGTCCGATACCGCGCGCTACAAAGAGGAAGGGTATGCAAACATTATTGAACTCTTGGTCGATTTCGCATCATCTGAAGATATATGATGGTCCGAATTTTGCATTTGGAATTAATGAACTTAAAATTACGGAATTATTCGTGTCCCCCGTGAACTCTTAAATAATGGTAAACATGAACAATAGTGGTGGCCATAAGTGATTATTCTACCACAATTTTGGTAATTTAACGATAATACTGGTAATTTAATCACTATACCTTGATATAATTATCATTTAATGGTGAACATACCCCGGTTTTGGTTATGGCTCCTATTAATTAAAAGTTCAAATAGAACACAACTAATTTGATTATTATAATTATGGTTATTCTTAGTAGTTTTTCATTATTATTCTATGAATAAGGCTAGCTGGTAAGGAACTTGTTTTTGTAATCAATATTTTATGAAAGTCAATAAATTTTAGGCTAATGCATTCTTCTCAAGAATAGTCGAAGTAGCTTCAGTTTTTTGTGCTTGAGAGAGCTGCATAAATAAAGCAAAGAATTTACAAAAAAAAGTCTCAGATGGCGCTAAACATGTGAGTTATTGCCATTCCTACAACAACGTTACATCAGTTAGTAGCAGAAATTTTTTAATTTACTGAACATTCTATTTAACAAGACCCATTCCCACTTCGATACTCTGAATAACTGCTTCAAGCAAGAACCAGAACTGGCGCAGGAATCTCAACCTTCCGATCACAGGAACCAGCACTAAAAACTGTTACATATTTCAAAAGGGTTCCTGTCATTGCTTTTCGAGAACACATTTTCTCGTACATGCATCGACAAAGTTATACAAATAAATAACAACATAAATAAACAAATAAATAGATTAAACGAAAAAAGGCAACATCCAGGATGGTTTCATTCTCAGGAAAACCCGAGTTTGTGCTCCACAGCGCCCTTGCGTCAGTCTACAGTCATGATAGACAAGATACCGCCTGCAATGGACAGCATTAGGAACCGTTCATGTTTTAGGTAAGATATTGTTCGACTTTTGCTTCCCGATTGATTTTCGATTTAAAAAAAAACTTCGACCTCTCATACTTTAAAGAAATTAAGTTGTCATACAACAGTTTAAAAAAAAAAAAAAAAAAAAAAAAAAAAAAAAAAACCGTTAAAATTGAGGTAGGTATCTCAGGAATTTTGAGATCTTAATTGCAGCGGAGTTTACCTACTTCAACAATAAATCGTAGAACAAGCCAACACTACGAGACAACTCACCTCATATCGACGGTGAAACTATCAGACCATATACCTCAATTGCAGTGTTTTAAATTCTCCCCTCCCATTTGAGTTTTTTTCGGGAAAAACAACTTAATATCATTCCTTCAAATTTCACAGAGTTTTCTTCGCTTGGAGAAGAAAGAGCAAAGAAGTGTTCAAGGATTGACGTTGCAGTTTTCCATGTTAATAATAGAGTATGACAGGAAGTCTGCAACGTCGCAAACCAAGATACGTGGTTTGGTAATTTCACCATCGACATGTTTTTGTATATGTTATGAGTTGGAGATGCAATCACTCGAACCGAAGTATTCAGAGAGAAGCGCTACTTATACAGTTTCAAAAACTGAGCATGATTAATCTCTCTACCATTCCCCAGAGATAAAAATTAGATTTAAAAAAAAAAAAAAAAAATTCTTCGACTGGAGTCAAATTTCTAGGACAGAAGCAGACTGAATGCTCTAGAAAATAACGTGGGACGGAGAGAAAATGAAAACTGAAAACAAATAGGTAATAAATCAAGGGCGTATATTGATAGGCCGAGGGAGCGAAAAAGTGAGCTCATCGAGGTCATAATAGTGCAGAACGGAAGCGAAGTTAGACTGAACTTTTTTCCCCCATCCGACTCTTGGGATGAGGTTCGGGATGGAAGGTGCTAAATCAGGCACGTCTGATAACCTATTTTTCGCTTCCTCTCAGCTTTGTGAGCGTGGCGCCTTTGTCGAGGTGTCCTTCGACATTGCCAAATTGCACTCACGTCCACGGTAGCCACGTTAGCTTTGGTGATACCTGGAAAATATGGCGAAACATAATGCTGCCATACTACGGTAAAAAGTTTTATGGAAATTCAGACATTGCCCCATTTTCCTCGATAAAACTTTTAATTTCGAGGAAATTTATGAATATTTTTCCTTGAAGTTATCAGATACATTAGGAAAAATTGCACGGGGAAATTTTTCGACAAATCGGATACAAATTATCACGTGATTTCCTTAAAAATTTGTTTTTTCTAACGAAATTTGGCAAGGCCATATGACACGTGCGGCGTTTTTTCAAGAGGGCAAAATGTCCAACGAGGAGAATTTCGTTGAGTTGAGTCGAAAAATCTGCAATTTCGAGAAAATCTCTCTGGTGTTCTCTATAGAATGAGCTCCAAGTGATAGGTTAATTTTTGCACAAATAGAGGATGCATGGTTTCAGTGAACGTGCCGTGTACACAGCAGATTAGAATTGTGAGTAGAATATTTTCAGAACTACTTTTTTTGGTCTGCCACATTACGTCAGCTTGGTTTGACTTTTTTTGCGAGGTTACACGTGTCGGGTTGTTTCGGAATATTTCTTTTAATGTTCATCCCGACTTTTCTCCTGATGAAATAAAATAATGGACCCAGAATAGGCCTGTTGCAACCTTCAACTAGAGCATAAAGAAGATTTAGATCTCATAGAAAATGACTTAATAATCACAATGAGCGCATCGGGAAGGTGAGAATAATACACTCCTACACGGAGAAAAAACCTCGTGCGTGGGACCCGAAGTTTAGGTCATGTGGATCTCTGAAGTTTTCAGATTGAGCATCTGAACACTTTAGATCTAGCTGTCGAGGTTCGGATCACACATCTGAAACTTCAGCTCTTACACAGCTTTCGGCTTTCACATCCGAAAAACTTCGGTTCTTACATCCGAAAAACTTCGGTTCTTACATCCGAAAAACTTCGGTTCTCACTTTTGAAGCACTTCAGATGAAGTGCTTCAGAAGTGAGAACCGAAGTTTTTCGGATGTGAAAGCCGAAAGCTGTGTAAGAACTGAAATCTCAGATGTGTGATCCGAACCTCGACAGCTAGATCAAAGGTGTTCAGATGCTCAATCCGAAAACTTCAGAGATCCATATGACCTAAACTTCGGGTCCCACGCACGAAGTTTTTTTCTCCGTGTAACTTCACAATCTGCGAAAGAAATGTGCGTTTTTTGAGCGACCCGCTTAAAAAGCGAGACCGCAGTACCGGTGAACGTTTTGTAGGAAGAGCCATTCCATCCACTAGGATCCTACGCAATGTTCGACATGACCGCCGCCAACTCGCCAAAATAAACGCATGCACGTGACGAGGCGATATTTTATCAGCCGGCCTGTTTATTTTTACATTTTTCTTGCGGTTATAAAGACCTCGGTGCTTCCTAACGATTTACGCGCGAAAGCGTCTGCAGTCATGTTGAATATTGTGAATCATCCTGTGCCGTAGTAGGTATCGTTTTTGAGGCGGGAAGCTTAAAAAACGCAAATTGTAAAAATAGGAGTGTCTTTTAGACTTTCGCGATGCGGTCATTGTAATTTTTGCGCCAATTTTCACATGAAACTACTCTTATTTTTGCTCTAACTGAAGTTTAGCAACGGGCCCATTTTGTGACCTACATAGACGAATTTAGTGTGACGTCACATCTCGATTTAATTTCGATATCTCGAAAATCGAAACGTGCCCCAGCAAACGAACATATAGGAATCTGCGGGATTTAGGCAGGGGGGTAGGGGGATTCGCTTTATGACTGTCACTGATATTACGAGCTTATTATACAATCAATTCTTGTGATTGTGATCTCGAACGTTTTTGTAAATGGCTAGCTTTCATAATTTTAAAGTCCCATGGAGAAATTTTTTAGTTTCAGGCAGTTTCAGCATTATTTCGTCAATTGTTTATTTTGGAGGTTATGTTTGTTTGTTGGGGCACATTTCGATTTTCGAGATATCGAACCAACAATATCGTTCCGTGACGTCACCACTAAATTCGTCTATTAAATTTGGCAACTCGTGTGACTGATGGCGAACTCGCACGACGACACCGAAAGTGCTCTCGATCTTACAATGGCGAATTCTTTCGGGATTCGAGTGCACGGATCAATATTGGAGGCTAATGACAGTGCTCCTGCTCCAGGTATGGGACGCTTGGCCGACTTCGGGCTCTGGCTCCCGGTGCACAATGCTGCCGTGCTACGGAAGAACGCCGTATGAACATTTGAGAGTTGCCAAATTTCCTCCGATAAAATGTTAATTTATGAGAAAAATTATGAATATTTTTCCTTGAAATTTTCAGGGACTTTAGATCAAAATACAAAGAATATTCCCTCAAAAATTGGAAGGAAAATATTCATAATTTTACCCGAGAATTTGTGTTTTATCGAAGAGAATCTGGCAACGCCTGAAGGTTCATACGGCGTTCTTCCTTAGCACGGCAGAATGAAAATGATGCGAATCTCACCGCTTCCCGCCCCGCGGAGCCCACTCACAGCACTGCAGCACACCCGTCAACGTGCAAAGAGGACTTACTTCGGGAGCGAACAAGTTTCCCAGAAAAGGAAGAAAAGAGATATTGGTATTCGATAAGTGCGCCACACCCCCCCTTCCCTCCCCCTCCGAATAACGTGCTGCCGTGCTAAGGAAGAACGCCGTAAGAGCTTTCAGACGTTGCCATATGCTCTTCAGTAAAAAACGAATTTACTGAGGAAAATTGTCATCACCATTTTTTAAAGTTTCAGACAATTTGGTCTCAATTTCATCGAAAATATCTGAAAATTTCAAAGGGAAAATAAGCAGAGGCGGATCCAGCAATTTGGCAACACCAGATTTCCTCCATTAAAACCTGTGCTAAATAATCGGTTCTTGTCGGAGCACCAGACCCCTCCAAGGATCGATATATTTCCATAGGTTCAAATGGAGGAAAGACAATGTGGCCAATTTGCTGGATCCGCCGATGAAAATAAGCATAACTTTCCTCAAAAATACATGTTTTATCCGGAGACATTTCGCAACTCTCAAATGTTCATAAGGCGGTTTTCCATAGCACGGCAGCAGCGTGGGGAACACTAAATTGACTGGTGGAAATTCTCGCAAGTTGGCAACTCTGTTTTTGCTCCAGTTAAACCCATTAAGTATGAATATCGATTCTAGGTGAGGCCAGAGACAATATGTTTTCGAAACCTCCCGCTAACAATCTAACCGATGTAATCAGAGACGAGAGACCCTCCACTCGTATCTCGGCCATGGTGGAAGCTTTTACTTTCGGGACTTCAACATTCAACTGTTGACCTACCTACTAGTTGATGTTTGACAACGTGTTGGTAGTTTCGTTTTGCAAACAAGCCGAATTTTGGGAAACTTGTCTGGCTCATGACGTCACCCGAGGCTCATCATCAACCATGTAGGTAGGTTAACAGCCGAAAAAAGAGGGATGACTGTTGCTCCCTTATAATTGTCCATACGGAATCGTTGAATCACCGAAAGTAAAAGCTTCCACCTGTCGCCAAGAGGCCAGTGGCGGGTCTCTTGTCTCTGAGGGAAACGTTAAATGGAGGTCAATGTTATTTTTCACCTTGTTGGTGAAGGACTTGCTGAGCAGAAAATTCAATGAAATTCGCCTGATAATGGTCTTGGCGAGCCCTTTGCCAGGCGAGTATTTAAAAATTAAATAAGGATTGCTATGCCAATTTCTCAACTCTTTTTTCATAAGCGGGCTGATTGTTAAAGTGTACAGACACATTTTTAGACAAAGAAGACTAATGGGATATGAAGGCATCCTATTGATGGAGGTAGGTGGTTGAAATTGACAAAGGGAGTAGGTAATCTGCCGTGCAACGCAAAAACGCCGTAAATGCAATTTTAAATTTTTTTGATACAATGTATTATAGCAGAAAAACTTTGAACCTGGGGACAATGTTTTTTCAGAATTTTTTCGCAAACACCATCAAGAACTTAACCTAAAAATTTGAGATGCTTGGGTAAAAGATTATTTATTTGATGAAGTGTTAAGTTCCAAGAAACGCGGGAAAATCTTGATGGATTTACGGCCTTCTTGCTTAGCACGGTAGTAACAGACTAACTAGTTCCCAGCAAAAAATGAGAATATTGCAGAATTCTGATAGAAATCTAATGCAGACACGCGTTAACACGATAGTAAGAGTACCTTTTACATAGTGCAATACGTAATAAATGTTTAACCCTCCATTTTCAAAAACCGATTTCATTTCATTTAAATTTTTTTAAAATAAGTCAGTGTCTTTCAAGCACGTATTGTAAGTTTGGTATGCATAGTTATTTCAGATCGTGAGCTCAGCATCACATTTCAGCTGTTCCTTACAGCCAGAGGAAATGATAAATCGTCAACATTAAAAATCTTTGAGCCCGGAAACAAATAAATCTGAATACCATTCAAAGCAGGAAAGGAGTAGAACGGAGCGACCGTAGAAGGCTGCATCCTGACTTCCTGATACAAATAGTTAGCCATTACGTTTAATGTGCCTTTAAAGCTGCGGAGACTTCTTCTTCCCACGCATGGTTTTTATGGGAAGATAAAATGGAAGCCGTGACAAAGATCATTAACCTCAATTTATCCACTCCGCATTTAATTAATCATTCACTCATCCATAAATATAAAAAAAGAAGTATTTGGTTTTATCATTCATGCGGTGGACAAAATTGAGGGGAGCTATAACCTCTAGGAACGATCCTCCTTGTAAGAAATTTTCTTCTCTATGCTCATTAATGTCCTCAAATAATACCCCCAATACAAAATTAAAAATGCTGAAGAAGTCCGTACGCGAGATATCATTGATATTCTCCTGAGTTTTCAATTACTGACTTGAATCAAAACTCCAAAAATTGAGTGGCTTTTGCGTGTGCTACACATATTAAGTGGATTAGACAATGCATTATGCCTGTCTGTTCCTGTATCCACTATGAACGAAAATATTGCTGAACCGAGAAAAAATCCTGACAACAACCACGGGCTCATCTACCCATGTTTGATCAATGACGAACGAATGATACGTTTATTTGGTATGTTATTCCTCGCTGAATGGCAAAAACAATAAGGAATACATAATGGATTCCCACCGTAACTATTTAAAAGTGACATTTCGACGGTGAAAGTCGGCAATCACATAACTCGATTTGCGACGTCGCAGACTTCCTGCCATACTTTATTCTTTAAACGGAAAACTACTCAACGGTAATTCCTTAAAACTGCCGTGATTTTTCTTCTATGTGCGAGGAAAATTCTGCAAAAACTGCAAGGAATCATGTCCATTTGTTCTCCTTTAAAAAAATAACATAGTTGCGGAGATTTTCAGACACCGCAAACGAGTTATGTGATTGCCGACTTGCACCGTCGATTTGTCGTCCATGCTGGTCGAAAAAGCGTGACGTATCGGAAGATCTTCAAGTTTTTGTTGATCCATAAATTAAATTCAATCACCGAAACATGCAGAATTGATTAATTTCGGCAAAGTGCATGCTGGAAGGTAAATAAAGAAATGTATTTTTAAAACATTTTAGCATATCGATAGAGAAACTCCCAGACCAAGCATCTCGTTTGAGGCGTTTTAGATCTTCATTTCCATTTTATTTTTTTAATAATAGCAAGCAAATCAATATCATTTCTCGAAGTTTCCGCAGAATTTTTTTCTTATGGGGAAGAAAAATCACAGAAGTATTTAAGAATTTACGTTGAGCAATTTTCCGTTAAAAAATAAATTATGACAGGAAATCTGCAACGTTCCAAAGTCAGATACGTGGTTTGGAAGTTTCGCCATCGACATTCGAAAACAATTTTAAATTTATTTGAACATAGTGATGAGAACCACTGTAACACCAGTTAAGATTGGATAGGTTTGAATGTGAAAAACCACGGAGCCAAGGTGTTATTTTGAGAATACTATTTTATTAAATCATTGCCGAAGCTTTTCGACCCTTCTGGTATTTATCAAGGCAAAACTACAAAAAGCGAAAGTCATAGTTGAGTCATAGTTGTAGTTTTGCCTTGATAATGACCATAAGGGTCGAAAAGCTTCGGCAATGATTTAATAAAATAGTATTCTCAAAATAAAACCTTCGCTTTGTGGTTTTTCACATTCAAACCTATCCAATTTTAAATTTGTGTAAATTTCCATGGATCATTTTGCATCTTTTAGACAATTTAACGATCTTGACTGTATGCACCATTCCACCTTTTCATTTGCGTAAAAGCAGGAGCATGTTGATAATCAAATTGAACGTCCTAGAGCGGCCATCGGAGAAGAAACCGTGAAATAAAAGTTTACACTTGCGGTCACCCCCACGATCGAGGTAGGTCGTAAAATCTTGTAGCGTACCTCGAATCAATATCACAAATTTTTAGGAACAAAGCAGGAAGCGGAATACATTAGGTGAGCAGAAATAAATCAAAACGAACCGTAGCGAACATTCTGGCAAATCCTGTTTGTTATTCTCGGATCCAGAGTTTGTTATTCTCAGATTACGTACCTGCAACAAAAAGAATGATAATTTTACTCACTCCTCCCCTACAACTTGGCCCGCGCTTTCGGCGAGAACGTGAGATGGCGAGCAGTGTCGGTGCAGCGGGAGAAGGGAGGGGGATAGCGGTAGCCTCGTGGTGATGACAAAGTGAGTGAATTATGGGCCGCCAGAAACCGAAAGAACGAACATAAAAACCAACTAAATTTGTGACACTATCGAAGGAGGAAGAAGAAAACGCAGCAAAAAAGAGCGAAGCTAGAGAGTAATCAGTGGGCTTCACTGCTTCTTTGTAAAATCGGCTGGACCCACACCATCTTTTTGTATGCTCACAAGTCTGATTAGAAAGATACGATATGGATGGAAACCATTGGCGGATCCCGCAAATTGGCAACATTGTCTTTTCTTCATTTAAACCTACAGAAATGTATCGATTCTCGAAGGGGTGCAGGTACTTCGAGAAGAATCGATCATTTGGCATAGGTTTAAAGGGAGGAAATCCGGTGTTGCCAAATTGCTGGATCCGCTTCTGATGGAAACAGTTTTGATCGGCTCAAGAAAAACGACGGTGATTGCCAAAAAAATGTTATAAAAGTAAATATTTCTACGGTTAAATGGACCGCGTTAAACAGAAATAAACCAAGCCGCATCAGCTATTGCCAAATTTAACATGGGAATTTGATTTTTTACGAGAGAACGTTTGCGCGGATACCTCTGAAAATGTTGAGGAATTTGCTTTGTATTATGGAGAAAATTCATAGAAATTTGCACAAGAATCCTCACAGCCGTTTTCATGTAAGAAATTAAATTGCCCGATTCAATTTGGCAATATCTGATGTGGCTTGGTTCCATTCTGTTTGACGCGGTCCAAATATGAAGTCATAGAAACGTAATTTTTGGTAAACATCGATGATTTTCCCTCGGAGGAAATCATCTAAATTTAAAACTACAAATCACCTGGTTTCGTGAAGAACCTCCTAAAAGCATAAATCCTAATCTTTTAAATTAAGCTAAAAATCACCGTGCGCAAAAACCGTTCTTCTGAATAGAAGCGTGGAACTTTCAATAATTCCATACCAAGAACCCTTGACACATTGAGTGGCTTGACTGATCAAAGAAAAGTGTCTAAAAAATCATGGTGGCCTCCTGCATGTTTCGCACCACTTGAAACGCGATGAGGCATTTTTAAAAAGTAACTAGATTACCCCTCATTTACAACGATGAGGGTGATTTCAAAACTTCACATTTCCGTATTGACTGGATCGATGGTTTTGTTTTCAACAACGTTAGAGGAGGTCCTATTCCACATTTGCCCAGATCCCAGATTGTCCAAATTCCACACTGTAGGCTGTAAAATCATTGTTACGAATGTTTGGGCTATCGCGGGGGCAGTGTGGTTAACAATCGACTCAATCGATATTGGGGACCGAATTTTTGGATCCTATAAAAGCCACTAGTATGTTGCTCTACGTTAAAGTGCGCTACGGGCTGCATTTATAATCGATCCCACGATTTGCGGTTAGAAAAGAATGTCAACTGCGTGACACTTGCGCCGGCAGGTTTTGACAAATATATTAAACACCGTGCGCTACCCCTAAAAGTACGAGAGAGAGAAAATAGAGACGTATGGAAAATGGAAGCACAGTTATGCGATGATGGGGTGCGGTTTCTTTCACTCAAAGGCATTACTGGGAAAAACACATTGTGGTGAGAGCGGCGCTGGCGTGAGAGTGCATTCAAATGCAAATTTTTCTCGCTGTGAAAGTAGATTGCTTTAATTTTTTACCCATTCTCTTTCTTTGATAGGAGATTTGAGTCCTCTCAGCGAATAACATCAATATCAAAGATTCATTATTAAACTTCCCATTGGTTGAAAACATTTTATTTTGAATCAATACTATGAATATGATCGGGAATACGAGGAAACTACTGCTCTCATGAGACAAAAAACCTCAAATTTTGCTTAACTGTGCACGGTTTTCAAACTACAAGACTACGACAGAAAAAGCTTTCTTTTGGTGAATGACCGCATTTTGTTTGCGACGTCGAATAACACTAGACAGAAAAGGAATATAGGAATGTAATGAGCAATTTACGCAAGTACTGAATGTTAAGTTGGTAAATCTTTGAATAGTGAACTTTTAATGAAGAAACTTGCTAGATTACGCATAATCACATAATGAGTGGAGAAGTTTTAACTTTTGATATTATGCTGAAAGTGCTCGCAGAATGTATTTATATTCTCTTGAGAGAAAATGATTTGTGCAAGTAACCTAATTTATTGCATTCACTCTTTTCTCCTACCGTTGCACCACAAGTTAAGAGTAGATTCAAAACTTAGATTGGAAGGTACTTAATGATGAGTGGACCGTCCAACGGCAAACGGAAAAAATGGTGAACGAATTTTTAAGACAGAGTAAGAAAAAGAAAGTAAAATGAGAAGTTGAAAAGTTTAATTCCATAATTGGTTTGCACCGTTCTTCTTTATGTTTCAGCAAATTTGCACGCATATTCGCACAATCACTCGAAATAAAATACTAAAAAATAATGAATACAGCAAATGCCAGTCTTTTGTTCTCCAAAATCCTATCAGAATCATATATTGCTGTTTTTTTTTCTTTTTTTCTTGTTGAAAGAGTGAGAAATCAATGCATATTACTTTGCGCGGGCTCTATGTTTCCAATGAAAAACTTAAATTTGGGTAGGAAATATCTTCAGATTAATTGTCCAGGTAAATGTTAGGAATATTGATATAAAAGTGAAAAGATTTTGGATAACTGCTGCCAGAATTTCTGGTTAACTATCATTCAATATTTTTAATTCTACACACAAATTTTTAATGACGGAAGGGTTCCATATATTTTTATCGTAACTACTACAAGAACTATATACTTTGTATCACTCTACGCATGCATTTAAGTAAACTAAAACAAAACCTTTCAGAAACAAAGTAACGTTGGATAATACAGCTTTTCAAGAAAAACAGGAATTTTGGAATTATACGTCTTTCGTTTTAGGTTTGAGACTCTACCTCATGATAACCTTGATGAGCTTAAAACGGTCACAGTCTGCTGATTCTACTTGAGATACAGTATCAAATGCAGAAAGCAGCGGAATTCAATGGAGCGAGAAATATTCACGAGATAAAAAACCGAAGCCGAGGGCAAAACCGAAAAAGAAAAGAGGATTTGATGTGTGAAGCACTCACTCGACACATTCTGTTTTCAGAGGGAGGCTTAAGCTGATACTGTCTCTGAGTCCGACTGGTGACGCGTATCTTAATCTTCAACCTGTCTGCGATTCAGGGAACAGAGAGAACAACAGAGCACTTTCACCCACATCATACGACGCCGTGTGAGAATTGCATGGTTTTATGTTAAGTCCTCACCCGGAACACCGCGCGAAAACAGACGAAAGAAACGGGAAATTTTACGATCTGTCAGGATCTGAATTGGCAGCTAGAAGAGGAAAGAAATAAATGTCTTACCGAGCTTCGATTTTCGAAAATCCTCGACTCAACCTGTCCGAACATGAAGGCATGGCACTTCTTTGGCACCATAGGCGGACCCGGGGGGGGGGGGCATAGGGGGCTAACGCGCCCGGTTCGCCCGAAAAAAAGGAGGAACAAAGAGGGAACAAAGAAAAAAATGAAGGAACAGTGGAAAGGAGAAGTGAGGATGCTTGGATTTGGTAATTATTCATGAAGAAATTGACTTATACTGCAGAATGGATACTTTAAAATTTCGAAAATTTTCTGGGAGAGCCCCCGGATCCCCTTACGGCCCACCCCATTTGAAGTATCGGTATCCGCCGTAGTGCGTACAGTTATGTATTTGCATAATGGGCCATACACTAGGAAAGATATGAATTAAAATTAATAACGCAACATATTTTTTCTTCAAAACATCACGAGGAAATCAGATCACACGACGCAACGGGCATTCTAATAATATTTTTGTTGTTGTAGTTGTCTTATACATTTATTTATAGGTGCTTTAGCAAAGCTGGGTCATTAATGCCTCAACACTTAAACACGATATGTACTTATGTTTATGACCTAACATTGGTAAAATGGTAATTACATAAATGGACAATTTAACTTTCATTTGATTTACGTGCATAATTTTCGAAACATACTTGATAATATCTCGTTCCGGGGTTCATTTTCAAGCTTCGCGTTGTGTGAATTATTTTCTGCATAAAATTTTGAAGGGAAAAAATAATGTGACATTGATTTTTAGTTCAAAACTTATTAAGTGGCTCATTACCGATTTTCCGTAAAAAAATGAGTTCATTTCAAAATCACATTCACAGGTAACAGTAAAGGCTTTTCTAGAAATGGATTGTATTTTGCAAAAAGGAACCAAAAGCATCCCAATATTGCTAGGATTGTGCAAAATACATTCTTTTGCTACAAAATCACTGAAATCCTGCAAAAGTTTTTTACAAAGGTAATTTTTGGCTTGATTTTAAAGTTTATTGAGAGTAAATATAAAGTTTATTTAGGTGATCAGTTAATATTTAAAAGGTAAAAAAAGTCGCAAAATCTTTGCGAGATTGGAATGCTCGTGGTTCCTTTTTGCAAAATGAAATCCAAATAGTGGGTGGTCCGTTCTATGCTGCCAATGAGGTGTTGCTAATTTGGGAGAAAAGTTAAGAAGAAGGCCCAATTACGTCTCTCCTACCTTTGGCTGTGTTGTTTACGTAGCACATTAAGCACCACTACAAATTAGACAGACCGAAACAAACGCAATGTAAAAATAGAGGAGAGAGAAGGCCGCGCGGAGGTGACGGCGCAGAGATACAACTATTCGTGCTTAATGGAAGTCCGTATTGCATCCTGCAAAATTGAAGGCGCGATGGCGTGAGACGAAAGCTCTCAATGCTCCGCTATGTGCTGCCGATAACATGTCTCCCAGTTTTGGTAGAAAATTTGTGGCTCCTATTTTCGGCTATGTTGATTTTTTTTGTGTATGATGTGTGATTCTTTTTCATGATG